GACCACGTCTTGGAGGGCAGAACCGACGGGATTTGCTTCCGCTATTTCCTCCGTCTCACCTCGAGAAAGAGAGCACCAAAACAAAGTCAGCGTTTCCTTCTCGCTTCCTTCAATAGAAACTGAGGTCTAGTGGAAAAGCTGGAGACTCCTGGGATGCCGGCTTCGGAGAAACAGGCGGGAAATGTGGTAAGCCCTAGCAGAGGAAAGAAAATAACCACGCCTTAGCAGCCAATTCTTCTAGAGTAAACCCAGCATTTTAGGTGTAAATTAATTAAATTAAAAAGCCTGGAGCTGGAGGCAGCTGTTAAGCAGACCGGGCTCTGCCAAGCTTCCCTCCAGAGCCCCGTCAGTGCCAGCCCGGCCGGAGCGATGCGGAGGGCGTTTAGTTTGGCGGGGTGACCGCAGGCCGGTTCGACACCCCAAAACACTTAACAGCTCGCACAGGATAATCGGGACGGGGAAGCCTCGGCTGCATCCCGCTCCCGGCGTACAAAGCAGGTGCAGGAAGCAGGATCCGGCCCGCTACGCCCACGTTCGGGCCAAGGAGGGCAACACTCGAGCGGCACGGGTCAAGGGATGGCACCAGCAGCTGAACGAGGAGAAGCGCTCATCTCCGGAGCCTAGGAAAAACCCTTCGCTTTGGGGAAAACCTAATTCCAAGGTGGAAGGATTATGCAAACCTCATCAAAAGTCCCAAATCTCAAGTTAATTCAAGGTCAAGCGTTGCATTCTACCAACGTACCACAAAAGCTGGCAGGAAAACCCAAACCTTTCTGCAAGAAACGATGCCCAGAGCCTCAAGAGACTCAAACTGTTGGCTGAGCACCAACGTTTTCCAGGAAGCCGGGGACAGAAACCACTTCAGACCATTTCCCCCTTAAACAAAGAGTTACCTACACGTACGGGGAAGTAAAGCCACGCGCCAGGGTGCTGGTTTGGGGGTTTTCTTCTCTTTATAGAGCTGATCAAGCACATGAAGAGCAACGTACGGTGACGTTGGGCTCAGACAGTTAATAAACATCCAAAAATGAACCCACTGCTCCACAAATACTTATCGTTCTCTCTTCCCTATCCCGAAAAAAAGGTGAGAATTCACTTCCACGTCTTAAATTTCCTCCCGCTTCCCGGTCTCGCTAGAGCTACGTGGATCGGGATGAGCACCACTTGCCCCTACCTGCGTCTCCGCCCGCGCCGGATGCTTCAGCGAGGGCCGGGAGCATGGCGAGCGTGCCGGCGGTGGAGCTGGAAAGCTGCGCCGGAGGGGCAGGCGAGTCCCCTGCGTGGGCAAGGCGAGGGCGAAGCCAAGGATCGTCAAGGACCGGCCGCGTCTCGACAGCCCAGAATGGGGTCGGAACGCAACCGTTTCGTCACCTGGAGATCAGGATGCGCTTTCTGGGCTCCCGCGGGAGACGGGGAGGGAGTATGGATGCGTTTGCATGAGGTGCCGCCCGCTCTTACCTGTAAAAAGGGCTTTGATGCTACTTTAGGCCCGACCGTAGCCACTCCCAGTACTTTATGGTACTTTTAATCAAGTTTAAAGTAAATTTGAAGCTATTTCTGAACGTGTAACACAAAGAACAGCCAACGGGACCCGATCTGCTCCAGCTTTAGGG